TCTGCCATTGTTGTCCTGCGTGCGGGGCTGTCTTTCATGCTGCTATCGCTCCCTGGGACATGGAGTCACTCATACCCTCCCAGGGGCCCTTCTTGGGGTGGGGAGGGGCTTCCCCTTCCCCCCCCTGCGGGCAGCCTGGGCCCTGGGGTTCAGCCCTGTGGGGCAGGGGATCCTGCCGGAGGAAGGGCGAAGGGAGGGGATCCACTCAGGCAGGCTGGAGTTGCGCCAGGTGTGGTGGGGCCCAGTTCTGGGAAGTCACGGGGGGGGCACCTCCTGCCCCTGCTCCTGTATCCCCATCCCTTGGTCCTCTCCCCGTGCCCATCCCAGCGTGAAACTGGTGCCAGCACTTCCTCCCCCGCTGCTTGATCTGCCAGGGCCGGGGCATGTCCTGGAACTTGGTTCCTCTCTGCTCTTACCCACTTAACAACCCCCATCTCCCCAAAGACCCTGCGGGGTGCTCAGCCCTCAGGGTGGGTGGGTGGAGCCTGGGCGCTAAGGCTGCCCCCTACCAGTAGGGGGCCTAAAGGCCTTCCCAAGCTCTGGAGCCTTGTGGGAAAGGGATGTTAATTCTCACCTTGGGGTGCTATTCTGAGCATTAAGGAGGTCAGTGTTTGTAAGCCTGGCACACACAAGAAAGGCCCTAACAATGGCAGCAACTTCCTGTTCAAAGAAAAGTGACTGTGCCCTCCAGGGGCCCGGAGGCCGGTGTCCAGGCTGGTCCCAAGTGAAGGGTTTCAAGACAGGCTTAGTGCTCGGCCCCAGGACTGGGAAGAGCTGGAACAGTCAGGCCTGTGCGCAGGGGACAGACCTTCCCCTAAGCAACCCCCAGCCGGGGACAAATCTGCAGGGCGAGGGCAGCAGAGGGCAGTGGCTGTGCTATTAGCGGTGGCCAAGAAGGGGGCCCAGGACTACCAGGTGGACTGTGTGGGGGCAGCCCATGCTACCAGCCAGATCCACATCTGGCAGGGAAATGGGGCCAACTCTTCCTCCACAGGCCCTGGACTAGCCCCTGAGCTGCGGGCCAGTTGGATGTGATGACAGGGGAGCAGGGTCTCCAGAGATCCCATCCTCTTGGGGATGAGAGGCATAATAACCCATAACCACCGCGCCACGCGACCCACAGGGGACACGGCTCCCTGACCCAGAGGGGAGGCTTCTAACGAAAAGTGACATTTGAAGCAGGTCTTAAGGAAAGAGTAGAAGTTATTCAAGTAGAGAGGGGACTGGAGCATCTCCTGGTCTCCCTTCTCCTCAGACTGCAGGCTCCTCCCGCTCCCTGCCCTCCAGCCTGGGGGAGGTAAGTGGCCCCTGCCCGTCCGTCCAGCAGCCCCCTTCAAGGACCAGTGTCGATCAGCCTTCAGCCAAGCAGACAAGGTTTGAGGAGCACAGATACGGACAGCCATGGGGCACAGACACTGTTTATTGAGTGGCAGACACAGGAGAGGTAGCTGGCTCCAGCACAGAAGCGGAGGCGGCAGGTCATGCCAGGGTGCCGTGCGCATCCGGCAGGCAGGGCCGTGCCCCCGTCAGCACAGACTCACTACAACAGAAGTAGCAAGGAGCTGGCCAGGGAGGAGGTGGCCACAGCCCCTGGGATCCGGGGCAAGAAGCAGCAGATGAACTTGGCACAGGGGCCTGGGGAGGAGGGACTGGGGTCTGAGTGTTGTGGGGACAGGTGGAGGGGGTCACGTCTGTGGAGTGGAGTAGAGACTGTGGTGGTGGCTGCCTGGGTCCAGCACCTGGGAGAAGAGCAGAGGGGTGGTCCGAGTCTGGCTGCCCCCGTACCAGCCTGGCTCCCGCCCGATGGCGCCGTACCAGCTGCCAGAGCCTAGGCTGCCTGACATGCTGCAGACAGAGAAACAGGGTCGGTCACAAGGCAGGGACGGGGGCCACAGGCACAAGAGCTGGGGGAGGGAGAGAGGCTTAGGACAGAGCCCAGTAGCCCAGACATTCCAGGGCCCAGGGCTTGAGCACTGCACACTGTAGCCAACTGCATCCTCGGGGCAAGAGGGGGAAACCAGAGGGGCCCCCACCTAGTACAGACGGAAACAAAGGCCATGGCAGGGGCTGGGGCTGGATGACAAGACCTGGCTCTAGGCCCCCAGGGCTCCATGGAGCCGGCCAGGAGCTCAGGGGGCTTGAGGTGGGGCGAAGGCTCCTACCTGGTGCTCTCGCCCCGGCTGTGCTCCCAGGAGCAGCTCTCGTCCTCGCAGTGCCCGGCCCGATCGAAGAAGTAGGAACGGGAGCCAAAGACCTGCCCATTGAGGATGCGGCTGGTGCTCTGGGGGAGGGAGCCGCCATTGAGCTCTCTCCTAGCCCCCACTGGCTTCCCACAGCCACCCCGGGCCCGGCCCAGGGCCACCCCTCTACACTGGCCCTCACCAGGTCCTGTGGAGGCCGGTGCACCCGGAAGAAGCCCACCAGCAGGGTAGTGGGCAGCAGTTCCCACACAAAGAGGATGAGGCCGAACACCAGGTAGCCTTTGTTCCCCAGGTCATTCACCAGGTCCGCCTGTGGGAAAGCCAGGTCTTAGTCAATCTGCAACTGTGCCAGTGGGGCACCTGGACAGGGCCAGGAGCCACGGCTACTAAGGAGGCAGCAAACATGCCAAGTGCCCACCTGATCAGAGACATTGTACCAGTCATAATCGAAGGCATCCAGCCGGCTCCGGGGAGCCAAGGCCAGGGCCGCCAGGTTGTAGCAGGCCCGACTGGCATAGAGCAGGACCATGGCACCGCCCATCGCCGCTGCCTGGCACACACTGGTCCCCTGAAACAGATGACAACAGGGGACCCTCAGAGAGGGGAGGCACCAGCTTCCCCTCCGCCCGAAGAATGATGCCCGAAGACCCCAAAGGACACCAGGCATCAGGGTGGTGACCCTACCTTGGCCTCCAGGTAGATGCTGGTGGAGGGTGCCCGCCGGGCAACAAGGCAGAGGCAGGCGGCAAGAGAGAGCGCGCAGATAACAAACAGGGAGTCGCTCACCAGGACACGCACCAGCAGGAGGGCCCAGGGCTGTGCCCGGCGCCGGCGGGACAGCACAGCACACAGCACATTCACCAGCAGAAAGAGCAGCGAGGCCCCCACGAAGGCCCCTCGGACAGCCAGCCTGCAGCCCACAGCACAGTCAGCCCCGGACTTCGGCCCTTCGCGTCCACCTCCCACCCAACCTCCCCCAGGAGACCACGGCGTCCATCAGAACCGCAGGCCATCCAGTCTGCACCTTGCTCCTCCAGCTTTACAGACGGGGAAACTGAGGCCCAAGGAGGTCAGAAGGTGACTGACAGCGGTAGTACAGTGGACGGAGCACTGGATTGGGTGTCAGGAATCTGGGCTTAAGCCCTGGCTCTGCTTCCAGCCACATCTATGCCCTTGAACACGTGGCTTTAACTTTCTGGGCCTCAGTTTCTCCATCTCTCAAGTAGCCTCACAGTAAGTTGTAAAACGAAAGATGTTTGTGAAAGCTCTTATTGAATTGCAAGATGTTGTACCAAGGACAGGAGCATCACCACCCAAGGTCACCCAGAAGTGGTTTGGCTTTGGCGCTTCCGGGGGCTGGCGCCTCCAGCTCTTCCTCTGTCACGGACGACACTGGTACCGTCTCCCAACTGCTTCTGTTACTGTTGCCCTTCACACATGCACCAGCTCTGCCGGGCCTCCTGTGCCAGGCGCTTCACTTTCCCAAGCTTTCACAAACACCCCCTGGGCTGTCCTCACCTTAGCCCTGCCATGGGGGGAGGGACAGACACCAGGGCCTGAGCCCAGTGTGGCCCGAGTACTTACAAGCCTCGGCTCATCTCCGGCCGACGTTTCGCCTTGGCTTTGAACACCACCTGGGGGCAGAGATGCCCATGATTCCTCTGGGGCCTTGAGGTTTGCCACTCCGCAGCCCATCCCCACCCAGTTACCGCGGTTACCTGGGCAAAGTAGAGGTTCATCAGCGTCAGTGTGAAGAACTGCAGGCAGACGGGGCAGCAGTAGAGAAGCCAAAAGGGCAGGGGCCCCAGGCGGTTGGCTCGGGGGGTGTCTCGGAAGTAGAAGGAGAAGAGGGTGGTGCGCAAGGCGGCCCAGAGCAGACAGAGTGCCAGGAACACCGTCTGGTAGCTCAGACGCTTGTGCCCGTACAGGAGCACCAGCCAGAGCTGGGCATAAACGGAGAAGAAGAGCAGGGCGTACAGGGTGGTGTAGGCCGCCGTCAGCCCCAGGGTCACGGCCGGTGGCAGCTCATGTACCAGACTGGCAGCGGGCACCAGGCCAGACAGGTTACTCTCCATGTCAGGGAGGAGGCCTGAATCCGGAGACAGAGACAGAGGGGCTGGCCGGGGGCCAGGGAGATACAAATGAATATGCAGGGGTGGGAGCTGCGGGGTGCAGAGACCGAGAGGGGGATGTGGGAGGAAAGAAGTTGTGGCTGGCCTGGCCCTTCCCTGAACCAGAGGGGCACTGGCAGCCCGGGGCCAGGGCCCGGCCGGCACGCAGGAGCGGGGAAGGACAGTCTCTCCTCTCCGGGCAGAGGGTGGGGGTGGGGAGTGTCGCCTCCGTGGGCCAGTCCCAGAGCCAGGAGCTGGGGGGGCGCGGAGGCTGAAGGAGAAGGGTCCTTGGCCTTCGTCGCTCCAGTCGTCCTGGCCGGAGGGGGAGAGCCGCCGATGCCCGCGGGCTCTGGGCAGCGGCCGCGGTGTGGGGCGCTCCCCCCGGCTCTCCCCCTCCTCAAACTGCGGGCTCTCTCCCCTCCAATGATCCGGACGGGGTTGGGGCGGGGGCTCTGCCTTCAGGCCCCGGGATTCCGGACGCTGGCCCCGAGCCACCCCGCTGCGTCCACTCTCCAGCCGCGGGGGGCGGGG